AAAAATTTTTTAATGGGAAAAAAAACTTTTAAAATTTTTAAAATAAAACCAAAAAAATGGGGCCCCCCCCCCCCCCCCAGTGCGCCTGCTCCAGTCCTAAGCGTCATCTTCACTCATGTCACGTCACGGTTGCTCGCGCGCGCGCGCGCGGCGTGCCCATAAATACGCATCCTGACGCCAAGTCACGTAGAAGTGACAACAAACGAGCTGAGAAGCGAACCCTCCGCTAATTTGTGACGCTCCGTCGGGGTCAAAGATATGGAGAGCGCGGAGATTCGCGGCTCGGAAAAGAAGCGCAGAAGACGCGGCTTCATTCTGGCTGCGGCCGCGGTGGTCCTGCTTCTGGTTATTCTCGCTGTTGTGTTAGGAGTGACCCTAAGTGGGGAGAGGAAGAGAGAAGAGTTTAAAGACACATTCATGGAGAGATGTCAGAAGTTCAAAGGGTGAGTGTTGCTATTTTTAAGCGTTTGTGGAGCTCAAGACGCTCAGCTCAGCAGATGCACCCATGCAACAACTTTAGACGCTGAAAAAAGTTGGCAATATTACTTCAAATCATTCAACAAAAGACCAGCTGTTGAGCAATGATTGATCGTGTTATTTAAATTGCTTAAATGATGCGTATGCATCATTTAAGCATCTTGCATCTCCTCTGCAGAAGCAGAGCGGCGTCTCGCTTTCAAGAAAATAGGTTCCTTTGTACATCTATCTTCATATGCATGGATTTGCACACAAATTGAACCATTCCATTTGTTATGCCAACAATATGACATTTATATATAAATCACATGATTATGTTTAAAATCATATTTTTATAAGATCAAAATATATGGATTTCCATTGGACGTTTTTTGCAGCTTGTACTGCAGTGTTAAAGTCATAAAATTAGATGAAACCGCTTAGCATGCCATGTCAAAACAGGGATAGATAAATACTGATTGAACACATATCTCATCACGAACAATGACATATTGCAAAAATCAAAAAATGAAATCTACTTTTTTTGTGTATAAGATTTCTGATTTTTAAGTTCAAGATTTATTTTTACTTGTTTTCATCAGTCTAGGTCCTTATGCCAATCCACATCTTATAAAGTTGATGCACTGATCAGGCTTTTCCTGTTTGCTATTGATTTTGTATTTTCTGACATTCCGATTCCAATTTTTCCTGAAGGACAAAAAGACCTTCAGTAAAACACCGGGTTGTTTGGTAGGGAAAGAAGTTTGAATCCAAAATGACAAAATTTTCACTAAGTTTGTACCAAAATGTATGTTCAAAATAGATTCCCTCAGTTCTTGCATTAATACACAGAAAATGTTGAGTGCATCCTAGTTTTGATGCATATATAAAAAAAATAATAAAAATCACCTGTGTAAAACAAGCTCGTCCAGAAAGTTGTAGCGAGATTTAAAGGATTAGGTTTCAAAGCAACGCTGAAGGGCGCGGCGGTGACGAATTGGGTAGAGCGGCCTCGGTCATCAGTGCGGCCGTTGACCTTTGCCGTACGTCTTCCCCCTCTGTCACAACCCACTTTCCTGTCAGTCTACTACAAAATAACGGCCACTATAAAATAAGGGCCACTATCAGAGCGGAATGAAATTTGTGACGTTGGCGTTGATGACTTTCACCTGCCGCTGTCATTCTCCGCTCCTCACATATTTGAGCCAATTAGTCAAGTTCTACGCAACCACCTTCCTGGAGCAGCAAGAACAAGAAGAAAAGAAGTCCAGTTTGCAGTTTGCTGCAAGCTAGAAAGTGGACACAGTTGGAGAAGGTGTCCTGGTCAATTGTAAGAAAGCATCGACGTTTTCTGAAAACTAGTTTCCAGAAGGACGGACCCATTATCCCAGCTGTTTCTACCATGTCAGTTGAACATTTTAGGAAAAGCTTTCCTGGAAATTTTTAGATCGTAGAAATCAGAACACAAGTAGTATTCGTTTTATTTACAATCCTACAGTTTAATGTTGTTTTTAGATAAAGTCGAGAAAAACTGAACTGAAACCATTTGGAGATTGTAATCTAGTTCACTATAGGAACACTGTACAATAGAATGAAATATTTTTCATATTTTTGTTTGGAAACACGGCAATTCTCATTAAGATGTATGTTGACAAAATTCATCTCCACAACATTTAAAAGCCTAACTCTGACCTTTTACCTTTCAGGTATAACTGCCAACACATATGGGAATTATTTCAGCAAGCCTATGTGAACAAAGATCCTTGTGAAGTTCCCCCAAACGCCTACGATACCCTTATCGCTGCAGCTCCCATGGAACCTCCCTGCAACACGGTAAAACTGATAAAAATCATGTATCTTAATTGATCAGAATTATGCCACGTGTTGTGATTGCATTGTGTTGGTTGTGTTTCGGGACAGCTGTTGTTCTGGAGCAAAACAAAGGACGTGGTCCAAGACTTTGCCAGGAAGAATAAGTGTTTCCAGGCTGTGGAGGAAACCCTGCTGGGATCGGTCCTGAACAGCTTGACCTGGTGTGGAAAGAAGGACAGCAATGGTAAGAATAGTGGAGGGCAAGAGTCGGTTTTGTTTTGTTTTTACCTTGGTGAGTGCTTGATTTAGAGCCGTACTGACATGTTTTTCGTTTGTTTTGTCAGACAGGTTTTTGTATTTTTTTTATTGTTTTACATACTAATTCATTTTCATTTTCACATGGAACATCCAGAAAGCAGAAGTTAAAGGTTGGAACTGACTTGTCTTCCTACGTCATGTTATACTATAGACGCTGCTTGTTCTTATCAGCACTTTGCCTCATTACAGACAAACTTAAACGCATTTTATAGGGGCTTTTTTGTGTTAGACCAGTAAAAATTTGATTTGAGTTGTGACATCCTGCTATGGCGATGCTTTTCTTCAACCGGAACAGGGAAGCTAGTCACAGTTGATAGAGAGATGCATGAAGGATGAGGCAACTGTAAAGAAAGACCTGTTTGGGGCTGGGATGGAGGACAGAGACTCTAAAAACACAGCCAGAATCGCACTGGGAAAGTTTAGATCATAGCTCTATGTGTTTGCATGACCTAGTCAAAGTCCAAATCTAAGTTTAAATGAGAATCTGTGGTACGGAATTAGATTTGATGTTTGCAGACAACTTCTATCCAATCCGTCTGAGTTGAACATATTTTTGCGTAGAGAATTGTTCATAATTTCAATGTCTAGATGTGTAAAGCGGAAAGGAATATAAACCAAAATACTTTGAGCTGCAATCGCAGAAGAATATGCCCTTTTCTTTTTTGTGTGTGCTACTACTTTCAGTAGTTCTTCAGCTGCTCTTTGTGTGTCTTTAAATGTCCAAATGTGTGTTGTTCTCCTTGAGGAGTTTGGGGGTCATTACTCTGTAACAATCTTCAGTCTAAGTGACCCCACAAAAGGACTCTGCTCCTAAAACTGAATTCATATATATATATATATATATATATATATATATATATATATATATATAATAAAATTTCAACTATTAAAATTTCAAGAATTTCAATATAGTTTCAACTATTGAAACATTAAGTTGTTTTAAAAGCATTAATTACAAATAAACAAATGTTTAATATAAGGTTAAAATTCTTTATTTATAAAAAAATACATGTTTTTTGTTGATCTCTCTCGTTTATTTAACAAAAATTTAAGCACAAAGTTCATTCATCTATCCTTCCCCATGAATATTTAGTTTTATTCCAGATCTTCACGCCAATGACAGAAATGCACATTCTTTTCATTGTTGGAGCCTTCAAAGTTCTGAAGTTCAGGTTTTCTCTATAGTTATATCCCACTAACTCTATCAGAAAACAATTTCTGAATATTTTCTGGTAATATTTTGTTTCTGACTTTATACATGAACTGTGCAGTTTTAAACTCTACCAAATCAGTGAGTTTCAGAAAATAAGAATCTATAAATAAATTGTGGGTATGACAATAAAAATCAGCTTTATGAACTAAACGAATGGCTCTTTTCTGTAACGTGCATAATGGTTGAAGAATTGAAGTTCTGAAAGTGTTACCCCAAACTTCCATGCAATAACAGTACAGAACATGTAGGGCAGAGGAGTTTAGATGTTTTCTAGCCTTAAAAAGAATTGCAATACTTCTTTCTATTTTAGATTGGACATATTTTATATGAGGTTTCCAACAGACCTTATTTTGAATCAATACTCTCAAAAACCGGATTTCAGTCACTCTCTCCACGGTCACATTATCAATTCTTATTTGTAAATCAATTTGCCCTTTACAATTACTGAATAAGATAAACTTTGTTTTATCTAAATTTAATAATTTGTTGATATGAAACCACTCTTTCAGTAAATCTACATTCATTTCAAACAAAAGTATCTTGGAGGTCTTACATATATCATTTATGTATAAAATAAACAATTTTGGTCCCAATACTGAGCCTTGAGGAACACCACAAACAATGTCCAAGCATGAGGACTGGAAATCACCCAACTGCACAAATTGTTGCCTGTTGCTGTGGTAACTTTTCATCCAGTGCAAATCTACTCCTCTTAGACCATCACACTCAGGTTTCTTGATGAGTATTTCATGATCAATCGTATCAAATGCTCTTTTAAAGTCAATAATGACCTCAACAACATGTTTCTTTTTATCTAATGCACTGGTCATCTCTTCTATTAATTAAAGAACTGTGGATCTTTGTTACCTAAATCCATACTGACTTTCTTTGAGTAGTTGATGTTTAATAATAATACTCTTTCTAATCTAACAACAAATATTTTTTCCAAAATTTTGGAAAATTGTGGAAGTAATGAAACAGGCCTGTAATTTGTGAAATCATGTCTATTCCCAGATTTATGTAGTGGGATGACTTTTGCCATTGTCATTTTTTGTGGAAATATTCCTGTTTGAATTGACAGGTTATAGATATAGGTTAGCAGCCGAATAATTTCCACAATCACCTTCTTAATTATTATCATGCCAATACCATCATAGTCAGTTGACCATTTATTTACTATATCTTTGATCTCATTTTCCTCCACTGCTGTGAGAAACATGGAATCTGGATTTCTACTAACTAATATGTCATTAAGTATTTTGTGTTCAGTGAGCTGCAGGATTTCTTCAGCCAATTCAGGGCCCACACTTGCATAATATTTATTAAAATTATGAACTATCTCTTCCATGCTATTTAAATTTTTATCTCCAATGTTTGTAAACATTTCCTCAAGTAGTTTTAGTTGAGGAAAACTAATATGTCTGAAGTTTTTTCTAATAACACTGTTTAAATTATTCCAGATATCTTTAATATTATTTTTATGTCTATCCAACTGTTTAAAGTAATAATCACGTTTTGCTCTTCTTAAAATAGCATTAGTTATATACTGATTAATATACTATATATACACACCAGTGTACCAGTGTGTAAAGTATATATATATATATATATATATACACCATACCATACCAACTTTATTTATAAAGTACTTTAAAACAACCACAGTTGATACAAAGTGTTGTACATTAAAACACAACATAACAATAAAAAATATTATCTTACATTTAAAAACAAACATACAATTTAAAACTAGATTCCGCTGGAGTTGAAAGCCAAGTACAATAGATGGGTTTTAAGACGAGCTTTTAAAGTGGACAGTGAAGGGGCCTCTCTGACCTGCAAAGTCAAGTTGTTCCATACCCATGATAGAGAAAACCCTGAGCTTCCTTCTCGATCTTTATAGATTATACTAACCTATATGTATACATATAAATATATACATGTAGAAAGACCACATATAGAAAAAATAACAACCAAAAATAATCACAACAGCAAAGAAAAATTTGAAATAAAAATGAAAAGCACCAGTAACACAAACAAAAAAACGCCAATAACACAAGATATTCTGATATATTTTTGAGAAATGACCCAATTGTTGTCTTCTTCACCAGATCTTTGGAGCAAACTTCCCCAGCCGGAGAAGTTTGCTCTTTTGGGGACTCGTTCCCTTGGGCAATGGGCACAACTGTCTCCTTCACACAGACAACAGATAGAAAAAATAACAGACACAAATAATCACGATAGTAAACAGAAACTAGAACTAAAAATGAACAGCACGTGCAACACAAACCAACAAATAACAATAACAAAAGTCCCCATATCGTTTTCAGAAAACACACAATTTCTGTTTCCGTTTTCTTGATAACGTCTTCCCCAGCCGGGGGAGCTTGCCTCTCAGTTGAGCATTCCTGATGAACCTCCCCAGCCGGGGAGGGTTCGAAAAGCAAGGTGTCACAATCATTGCACTGTGAGAGGCAAGCTTCCCCAGCCGGGGGAGCTTGCCTCTCAGTTGAGGAACATTCCTGACGAACCTCCCCAGCCGGGGAGGGTTCGAACAGGAATGCGTCAAAAGCATCGTACTGTGAGAAGCAAGCTTCCCCAGCCGGGGGAGCTTGCCTCTCAGTTGAGCATTCCTGACGAACCTCCCCAACCGGGGAGGGTTCGAACAGGAAGGCATCAAAAGCATCATACTGTGAGAAGCAAGCTTCCCCAGCCGGGGGAGCTTGCCTCTCAGTTGAGCATTCCTGACGAACCTCCCCAGCCGGGGAGGGTTCGAACAGGAATGCGTCAAAAGCATCGTAATGTGACGCGGTGCTCTCTTTCCTCGCGCTACTTTCGTCTGAATTGTTACCAGGGAAAACTTTATCACAAAGCTTCTTCATCCCAGTTGTAGCTAAGTAGCCAATGGCAAAACTCAGATGAAAAATCATGTTGGCTGATTGTCCACCGTACTAGAAATCCTTGGTAGAGTGTTGGCTTTCGAGGAGCTGATTCTAGATGAAGTGATGTGTTGAAACACAAGCATTCATAACCTCAGAAGTTCTTTGATCTTTTTACCACATCACAGATGAGGTCATAGGTGCAATGAGGTCACTGTAGTTCTGTAGTTCTTGCTTCTCCTCGTTGCTATGGAAACGATCAGATCAGTTCTGCATGACCCAAACTACTGACCCTTTGCAACTGCTTCACTTAATCATTCGAGGTGCCACAATGGAGGTCGGAAGTGAGGGATTGGAGTATTGAACAGAGCAACAAATAGTTTTTCAAAGTTGTTTGGAGTCGGTGTGTTTTTTTAATTATTAAAAAAAAATTAATAGCTACGATGGCTGCTTGAATGAGGTTTCCAGCAAAAAGGTGTGAAAATCTGTTAAGTATTTAGCGATTTATGATTGATTAAATGTGCTGATACTTCATTCTAACAGCACCGAGTGGAGCGGGCCACTCCAAGATGGCGGCTCTACGTGATGTCAGCAACAATAGGCCAGAGCGGTCCATGAGGCGTCTATTGTTTATGCCTGTGGTTTCTTTGCTAGCTCTTTGGACATTTCCTGCTCTATTATTCAGCTCGTAGCGGGTTCTGGTCTTGGTTCTAATAGTTCATGTCGTGAAAACAAAAAAACAAACTTAGAGTTGTTTGGGTTCTCCAGAGCCGAGGATCGTTACCGTCGTATAATTAACGGTGACACCGATGGTCTGCGGAAAAGAATTAGCACTTTGCCCAGTTCACTTTCAAAATACTTTGGCAGTTTGTAAAAAAAATAAATAATTAAATTTAAAAAAAGAATAAAATAAAATAAATACTTGGGTTGTTGGTAAAGAAACTAACAGACTGGTTCCAACAGGAAGGTAGCATATTCGCATAGTTAGCTTACCTGACTTTTTTCCACCGTGTTTCCCTCTTCTTGGCAGACTCCTCTTCTCCCCCTCAGGAGGTTTTCACCTCAGCTTCAACTGAAAAAGGAGCTTAATTTCCCAAAATGGCCTTATATTGATTTATCTTAAATTTAGGGGGGATCAAAGTTTTGTAAATTGTCAGTTATGGAGTTGACACATCATGGTGGTGACGAGCAACTTAGGAAAAACCTAAAGAATAACATAAACTCTCCTTTACTTAATAAACACAAAGTTCATTCATCTATCCTTCTCCATGAATATTTTGTTTGTCTTAATTAATCAAAGGAAAGTAAAAATTATCAATTAAGTTATTAGGCAAAGTTACCAAAGTTATTTTCCTTAGTTGATGTACCACCAGGGTCTTTAAAAAAACCTCAAAAAGTCTCAAATTTATCTCACTGAGGAAAAAAATTGGGTAGATTTTTTTATATTTATGGTACATTTAAGAAATCCTCTGGAGTACTTTGGGAGCCTGAAGTTATTTCAATTTTTCCATTTTATTCTTCAACTACAACTCAATACTGCAGCGTGAGAACATCACATTCTGCAGTTTCAGTTCACTTTTCATGTGAGAACCTGACCGTCTTGGTGCTTTTGTTATAGAAACGCTTACCACTGGCTGCCCTGGATGGCTGGAGTGTGAGAACAACCCTCCTCGCTCTTTCTGGAGAAGACTCTCGACCGCGGTGAGTCAAGAAGAGCGGGCTACGTGTTTTTTACTCCAGGAAATAACACGGCTGTGAGTTTGGGCCGCGGTAGGGTAACAACTCCACGTGGCTTTGCAGTTCTCCCTCTGCTGATAACAATGTAGAGGACACAAAAAGGTCTTCATCAATGAGGCTTTGTCTGGGTCTCCATGGAGCCGCATTGCACTGCTCCCTCCTGAGAAAGCAGCAGCCCACACACTCAGAGGAGGCCGCTTCTTGGTTCGGCTGCAGAGACGCAACATAAACCAACCTCAGTAAAATGTGTATAAATTAACCCAGATTCACGTGTAACTTCTGCTTCAGCAGTTTTGAAGAAAACATTTCAGAACTATTTTATAGAGACTAAAATGCAGCGAAACAGAGATCAGCTGTTAAAGATTTCAGCACAATCGGGTTACTTTCTATAAAAGTCTAGTTCTCTGCAGTCTTTTGAATGTTTTTCTTCTTTATTTAAATATGAATGTGGGTCTTTATAGGTTTGTTTGCATTTATTTATTTACCTATTTGATCATGTTTTTTATTTAAAAGTAAGCTCTCCCAGTGGCCATGTCATGATCTCTCCGACAATGGCAATATTTTGACTGACAGGATTTTATTTATTTTTACAGAAATATAATGAAACACACTCCATTCATAATTAGACTTTAACCTCATGATTCTTGAAAAGAAAGCGATGAAACGATAATGTCACTTTTCAGTCATTGCTAAACTACTTCAGAAATTACAAAAAAAAACCTGAAGAATAAAACAGGGGCAGCACTACTGCTTTAAGAATAAAACCATGAAGAGGGTTGGATGCATAAATGTGTATTTTGTGTGCAGTTTGGAGACGCTGCCTGTGGAAACGCCACCGCGATGCTGAATGGTTCCATCACAACGCCGTTCGATTCACAAAGGTGGGTTTGGTAAACGTGTTCCCACTTTGGATGCTTTTTATATATGCAAATAATTCCTCATGAAAGGCACTTCAAACTCATTACGTCACATTTCGAGCTTCACCTAACCTGCACTGTATTCCACAGTTAAAGTTAACTATCACAACCGATTTTGATAACTTTTTTGTGCACTTATTGCAGTACAATGAAAGTTAGGACAATGAGACAGTTTTTGTCCGTGTTTGTCCACTAGGGTGACTTTAAACAACCTTCCAAGTCCCTTTTTGTCGGCCTTTTGCCAATACAGTGGCGTATAGTTTTCTTCTGTAAGAGTGAATGATGTCAGAATATTCTCCAAAACAACCAGCTGGCATGCAGATTGCATCTAGTGGTTGCTATGGAGACTCTGTGACCTCAGGATGCCAGGCATTGCTTCTGTTCTCCAGTTGGACTTTTTCCTTCTACAACCCTGCATACATAATGAGATAAACTTGGCACCATGTCCAGTTTGGTTTGTAGTTGTGTCTCAAGAACACTATAAGAACCAGACCAACTCTAAGGACCACAGACTGAAACTTATCAATGCAGTTTAACAATTGCTATTAGGGTTAGGGGTAGTTTTGGCGTCCAGACAAGAAAATACACAATAAAAAACCCAGAGTACGGCGGGGGATTAAAAACTGTGCTTGCAGCCAGATTATTCCACTCATTCGTCACAGTCCAAGCTGTGAAAGTGTTGCTCTGAATCTTGACACGGGCAAATTTAGGTCAATTGCAAATTTCTTTATTCCAACTTACAAAATCTGCCACAAAACACAGAGCTGCAGCAAGTTTGCGATTGTTAGAGTGTTTATATTGTATTATATCAACAGGTCTCAACCTTGTTAATTTTTGTCAATAACACTTAAAAGCAAAACATATGTTTTACATTTTCCAACTCTACATTCACATTTGGTATATAAATGTAATCAGATGTTCAACTGGCTCTGAAGGGTAGTTGGTTTCTGCTACACATGCTGTTCAATGTCTTAAATTAATTCTCTTTTATTTTTGTTTTCAGTATTTTTGCCAGCGTTGAGGTGAAGAGGTTTAAGTCTCCCAGGGTGAAAAACCTGAACGTTGTTCTGGTCATCCAGAAGAACTCTGTGTAAGATTCATCAAATAATACAGCTGCTGATTTAACACCATCAGCAGAGATGGAGGAATAAACATCTTTCCGTGTTTTACTTTCTCAGATCAAACTGCTCAAATCCATCTTTACAAAACCTGGTGACGGTGTTGGACAAAGGGATCAGTTACAGATGCGTCGAAGTGCCCAGGTGAGTAAAATATGAGTATCATGAACTGAGCCATTATGTCTTCTCATGCCTTACTGATTTTTCTGTTCAAGGTCTCAAATCGAGGAGTGCGGCGACGACCCGGAGAAACCCTGTGGACCATGTTGGTGAGACTGGAAGAACCAACAGATGGAACTATTTTAAACCAATCTTAACAATCTTTTAATATTTGTCAGTCAGATCATGTCTTTTTATTATCAAGGTTGTGATTAGGGAATTATTATTATTATTATTGTCATGATGTAGCGGTGTATGGTGGTGAGATTGAACGCAGAGGACCCAGGTTGAAAGATGAAGGATGAATTTAATGGAAGCAGCTCAACAGTCCAAGAAAACAGGCAGCACAGTGAGCAGAGATAAAGCTAACACTGGTAGCGACTGATCAGGGAAAGACTGCACACGAGAGCTGATGCTGACACAGGACTTAGCAGTTCAACTGTGCCAGCAGACTATCGCAGACAAGACTTGACAACATATGACGAGGATCTGACAAGAGACAGAGACAACAGGTGGACTTAAATACACATGGGGTAATCAAGGGGACGAGACACACCTGGGAGACAATCAAAGGGAAAGACGCAGAGACTCACAGGGAACAGGATAACGATAAACACAGAAAATCTCAAAGTAACTACACAGAAAGACACAGATCACAACAATTATTACATGTCCTGTAGTGTTAAATAAAAATGCTGCTATATGTGTTCAAGTAAGGAGCAGTTTGTCAATGCATCCAACTGCTATATTTCGGGAAAAAATTGATATATTGTAAAATAAAGGCCGTACGTGTTGGTAAAAGTGGAATGGGTTCATTTTCCAGAGGCTTGTGTCATGGCTCGTGACTTCTGAAATGTCGCTAGATGGGTTTTTGTTTGTTGACGATAAAGAAGGTGAAAAGGAGGGCTGGTTCTGTTCTGGGGACGGATGTGGAACCTCTAGAGATTCTTCATCTTCATGAAACTCGAAAAAGCGCATCTTCAGTCAAGAGGCTTTATCACGGCTGCTGCTATACAGACTGCTACAGGAGATCCTTCTGTATCTACAACAATTCTTTGAAGCTACTTGGATAATATGAATTAAAAGTAAATAATTTCCCTTTGGGGTTTGGAGAATTTATGACTTGAATTGTTTTTGTTGTTCAATTTGTAAGATTTGTTATTTATCCTTTCTCAGCCACCAGAGGTCCTCGTTTCGCTTGTTTTTGGGTCTAGCTCATGTCATTGCCTGAATGTGTTGGGTTTCCTGCTTTAAAGATAGATTTTAGGACTTTATTTTGTCTTACTCTTCATGTTAAGCATTTATTGTTTCAGGTGTTTATTATGTCTAAATTGCTCTAACGTATGAGTGTGTTATTTTAGTCCATTCTGGTGGCCTTCAGGTGTAACCTGCCTCTTGTCTGATGAAGATAAACTCTGGCCACTCAACCAAATGAGATGCCACATCAGAACAAAGCTGTAAAAACTACAAAAAGTATTTGTTTATAAATATCTTTTTTTAAAAGAACCACAACTGTATTTCCACTCTTTGGTTTTAGATTAAAGAAACACATTTCCTTCCACAAAACATCAACATTTATGTAAGATTATGTCAGAATACGACCTGTTTTATAAGCTACGAAAAAATCATAAAAAACATGCAAACCTTGCATTATTATTCTGTTGCAGAATTTCTAAGTGAACATTTTATGAAAAATTAATTATTTTGACAACTTTTTCAATTTTTTAATGTCTCTTCTCTGCCAGAAAACAAACCAAAGATGAAATAAAAAAAACAAACTAGTTTCATGAATGCAAATACTTTCATGCTAATAATTTGCTAGTATATATTTTTATTACTGTTTTGTCTTTCAGTCTTTCTAAAAGTCCATCAGCCTGCTGTGTCTTGACGTCACACTATTTGAACATTCTGTTTGAAATGTTCTCCAAAATAAGAGCTCCTTTCCTCAGTCCTCTTCAGATGAGTCCACAGATATTTTAACACTATTTGTTTTGGATTCTGGCTCAGCTGTCCCAAAACTTTCATTTTCCTCTCAAAGTCAATATTATTTTATTTGGATATATTTTTGGAGTCTCAGTGATGCAGAAAAATAAAATCTTTCATCTTTGACCTTGCATCTAAACACCTGAATGGTTTTTGTCTAACCTTTAAAAAAAAAAGGTAACCCCGTCCATGATACTGCCCCCACCATGCTTCAGTGCTGGTGTGGTGGTCATTTGGTGACGCCCACTGGAACAGCTATATGTTTTGTCAGTGATACTTTTTGAAATTGGGGCCAAAAAGTTCAAGTTCAGTTCCTTCCATGTAAAAAACATTTCTCTCCCAACAGTTTGGATGAAATCTGACTGATTTCTTGAACTGATCATAACTCCATGATCAGGTTCCAAACAACAAAAACACCTTTCTGACAAAGGTTTTGGTAGATTTTAGCTGTACCTGAAAGACGTTTCTGTCTTTCAATCTTACCTTATTACTCCAGACATGAGATTGGTCTCTCGTGCAGAACCGAGCCAGAACTTGGCTAAATTTCCTGAAACCTCTCTTGAGTTGTTGCCGCCTCCCCAATATGTTTTCGTCTTTATTTGCTGCAGTTACAGGAAAACATTTTTGCAACATCTCTTTTGCCTCGAATTTTCTCCGGTTATATAACAGAGGAGGACTGAAAACTGAAACCTAAAGAAAAGGTGCTTTAACAGAGCACACTCATGCAAACAGGTTACTGGTCACCAATCAAGGAGATGTGGTCTTAAATGATTTTCCCATGACTGAATGTCAGAACAAAAGACCCCTCAGTTTGGAATCGAACGCTACGTTAACTCTTCCCCTGCAGCTCGTTAAACTTCAACCTGCAGTGGATGTGTGAACCTCCCACATTCTTTTAGTACCAATTATATTACCAGGATTTTATAAAATAATAGTTTGTTTGCATTTAGTTATAAAAATACTAATTTGATAAAAGTGTGTACAGCCAGCTCTTTGTTTCACACCACTGATAACACACGGTTAATATCAACAACCTTTGACCTCTGGAAATGTGCCTGTGAAAGCAAGCAGACACTCGCTGTCTGGATGTCAAAGTGGTTTGTTACGCCCCCCCTTCATGAGGAGGAGGGGAGTAACACGACAACCACAAAAACTTGACAGAGTCCAAGTGAACGTTTTAAAAAGGAGGGATTTATTGACAACAAAAATCCCAGAAGGCTCATACAAACTGTGGGGGAGAAAGGGACGGTTAGGTGGTGCCAAATCAAAGAAAATAATAAAACAAAACAGGGCCTAACTACCATCTGTGCTAAAGAAACCAAAGAAAACAAAAACCCTGCCTATCTAATCTAACAAAAGTTTCCACCAAAACTTTACATGGGTGACACCCACCTGCTTACCTAGTGTATCTAACAGAAAAAAACACTTACGTGATGAAATGTACAGGGTACCCCAAACTTACCTCGCCCTCTAACTCTCACCACAACCGTTCACACAAAGAGCAACAAGACATGCATTAGGTCACAGAGCCAGCTGGAGAGAGCTCTCCCCACCAGATGGGCTGCTTAAATAAGGCCTCCCTGGATGCTGATTGGCCCATGGTTGATGAGGATCAATCAGGGGAGATTGACACCAGCTTTCCCTAGTACCTGCGAAGAGACAAAGGGGAGGGGAAAGAGGAACAAACAGCATGGCAGGCATGTAACAGGTTTATTCATGTCTTGCTACAGTAGGTAAGTTATCAGGTCTGGCTTATTTATTTACATCAGTGCAACTTAGAAGACTTGGTAATAACGGCAAGAAACTGACTAAATTTCTACTCCATAATTAAGAGTAGAATGAAATGTTTTTAATTATGGAGATATTTTCATTTGATTACATTTTAGTCCCTTGAAAAAACTATGAATAAACCATTTTCTGTTACCACCACATAACTGAGCAAAAGATACATATAGGTATAAAACCTAGTTTTTTATTTTTTTGTTTTTGTAGAACCTCCATTAACTGTATTTTAGGGCTGGGTGATGGACCTAAAGTTGTATTCTGATATTTTGTGGTACTTATGTGACAAGAGAAGTGATTTCAAAGTAATGGCCTCAAAAATGCATCATTTTCTCTCTACCTCATAATGAGGAACAACTTTGTTTATACCCTAAAATCCCAATTAGGTACATTGAATATTCTGGTTTAATTTGAATAAATGTCAAAATGCATTTTTACTAGCTATTTTGCAACAAAAAACACAACCAATAAAATACTAATTACGAATGGTTAAAAAAAAGTTACATGTATTTAAGATATTTCTTTACAGCTTATAGCTTTAAGTCCAACAGGCATCAGTGGTTGTTCCTGTTTCTATACACTCCAGTATCTTGGATCTGTGGTAAAAGACAAAATGCAACATAGTTACATTAATCTCTGAAGGCATGTGTTGATTAAAATTATTACAGTGCAATATGTTTAGGTTGAACTTACCGAGTCACTGTACGGCAGTCGTAATCAATGTTTGGATCCAGAAGGTTTCGTAAAACCTGCAGAGACTCATGGCTACAAGCTGCACTGAGAACAAGACGAACACAAATGAAAAAGTTACACTTGGTATATTATTTATCACTATTACACATTCAAACTAGTTATTAAATAATTTGTCATTTCATATTACAAACTGAACTCTGAAGTATTTTATGAGCGTAAATTACACATAGAGGTATTTAACTATCACACACAAACTCAAAGTGAAACTAGCATGTACAAAGTAAAGAGCAAATTAAATAAACTATAGCAGACAACTAGATATGGAGAAAAATCTTACTTATTATTCTTGATAACAAGAATAACAGTCAGGCTCTTCACTCTGGGAAAGGCGAGGTTCTTAACTTCAACAGCAAAGTTTCTGGCAGGGAAAAAAAAATCAACAAAACAGGAAGTACTGTGAATGTGCTCTGTAAAGATGTGTTCAATAAATAATTTAAATAAAAATAAGTACATAAATAAATGGGTACATATATGTATGTTAACAGATTTTTAATAAATGACATCTAGAGGTCAAACAGGAAACAGCAACCTTCTACAACCATCAAACTCAGAGCTGCACTGTGGTTGAATGCACTGCACAATCTGAACAGGCCTATAAATGGAAACTACTCCTTCTGTGTTTGTTTACATCGAGCAACTTGCACCGTGCTTGAATTGCAATTTTGGCAAAAAACAAAAAAAATTGTTCATACTAACAAATCACTTCCAGGAGCTGCAAATGGCGCAACACTGTACGTCCCTGCTCTACATGTTTGGCACTTTTATGAACATGAAAGCCACTCTCCTTTGAAAGAAAATATTTGGTGCAAAATTGTTGAAAGTTTACCAGGTAGATCTGATAACCAGATAAAAAGCTCTGCTCTGCCTGATTAGCATTTTATTCATTTCATTTCTCTGACATCGTGTCACTGCACACTGCACTTACCTGGTGGGATCAAATGGTTTGCTTATCGCTCCATCTAGCAGAACATTGGCATGACCACAAGCATATTTTGCAAACTGTACAAACAGTAAAATAAAATCAATAAATTAGAAAAAGCGTTCTGATGAGGAAGATTCAGATTAAAAACATCTATTTTTAAGCACGTATTAGACGTACTAGTTAAAAGTGTTTATCAGTCTGATTTAATATTCTAACTTCAAATGTCATGTTTATTTTAACATAATCATAAATAAACACTTAAAAACATCTGTGTGTAATTAATCTACAGAATGAGTTAGTGAAATAAGTAAAGTTTTCAATAATAATCACATTTATTGAATGTGATGGAAATCCAGTATATGAGAAACCTCCAGAAAACACACTGATCATTGGGTTGAAGATACATATAAATATAATTAGAACTTGTTTCTATGTAAAAAATAAAAATAATAATGTTGAAATATTAATCTTGAAAGATTTCAGAAGGATTAATCCAATTTGAAAGCATTTCTACATTTTTGGTCAGCCATTTTTTGGGAGTACTCACCTCTGCAGAGGCTCTGACCCAGAATGAAGACACGGGGTTGATCTTACACGTTTTACACAAGCAGATGAAAGTATCTACGACCAAACCAGAACCAGATGTTACATGTGAGCTCTCCCCCAGCAGCTGAATCATACTGTGGACCACGGTACACGTTCTTACCTTTGCTGCTCTTCTTTCCGCACCACTTCTGGTCGTCCAAGATGTTCCCTAACAGCGTGTTCTGCAGGGGGACGAAATGATTCCTTTCCTTACAGAACTGATCCACCAGATCTTTTGTGTCGCTCCAGAACATTGTCTACAAGGAGATAAGAAAGTCAAAACTTGCAAATTATACCTGGGCGTTCTACACTGACAGCTTTATAACCAGAATCAGTTACCTTGTCACATGAATGTGTGAATGGGTAATCCTCAAAGAGCGGACGGTAAGCTTCCTCCGGAAAGTTACACGGGTCTTTTCCGACATAGGTTTTCTCAAACGTACTTAATACCTCTTCACATCTGAAAATCAAAGCAGAACCAAACAACACTGCAACTTTTCTCTGCATGCATTAAGAAAAAAAAAAACTAAACGGAGGTTTTACCTTTGGCTGGTTTGTGGGAAAGCCTCACATCTCCGTCTGAATGTTTTCCTGAACTGGGACGTTCGAGGAGAAAGCAGAGTTGCTGGTGGAACTATGACTACAACGGCCAGAAGGAGGACACCACCGGCTATGGCCAGTATTATTTTTAACTCCATTGCAGAAGCTGGACTCTCACTAATGTCTTTTAGGCGGAATGAAATGAATCTGCAGAGCGGCAACTAAAAAACAAAAGAAAAAGTAAAAACTTGGAGCACAATCACAGGTCCAGAGGTCAAAGGTTGTTTATATTAACCGTGTGTTATCAGTGGTATGAAACAAAGAGCTGGCTGTACATACACACCTTTATCAAATTAGTATTTTTATAACTAAATGCAAGCTAAGGAGTTTAAATAACTATTATTTTATAAAATCCTGGTAATATACTGTTTGTACTGTTTGCAAAATATGCTTGTGGTCATGCCAATGTTCTGCTAGATGGAGCGATAAGCAAACCATTTGATCCCAACAGGTAAGCGCGGTGTGCAGTGACACGATGTCAGAGAAATGAAATGAATAAAATGCTAACAATTGATATTTTGTTTTTGATTTTGTTTTTTGCCAAAATTG